GATTTTACACTTCCTAAAAGTTGATAAAAATATTAAAGGTTTAACTGAGGTTAGCAGTATTATACATCTTTAAATTGTAAATCCTCTGCTAAACGTTGTAGATAGCAAAGTTCTTATTATTTGCAGTGGTTTAGGAATACAATCGTCATCTTGATTACAGTTAAATATTCCTTAAACGGACACATTTGTGAAAGAGAAAAAGTGTCTGTTAGTAGAGCTGTCCGCCTTTGAGAGAAAGTTTCTAAAACAAACAAACACAACGCTTTCGACAAGTTTGAAAATCTGCGTCCGCTCCCCAGAATGCCTGCTAATAGTGTTGGTATTGGAGAAAAAACAGGGTGGTTTATAACTAGTTCTGTCTGCTGTCCACAATCATTGCTGTGTCCAAAATTTGCATTGCTCTTTGTTATCCTCGATTTCAAGCTTATTCTGTATCCCAAATCAAAACTGAAGCGGCTTTTTGCTATCTTGTTTGATGGTGTTGAATAGACCACGCATGTGTTTCATCCAATAGTTGTATCTTTAATCCAACAATGTTAGCGTTTGGTGAATTTGATCATTTTACCCGTGCAATTTCAGTCATTGGTTTTTGAGTCCGCATGCAGTAATATACATTCATATAGTAAAAGTTAATATGTTAACAAAGTTTAATACGTTGTGCGGTTTGCGTTCATTAGGGATCAGTTGAACCAACAAAATATAAGTTTGAAGAATTGCACATGCATCTGTCTTCATTGTGCAACAGAATATCAAATTTGCCATCTACTACAGTTTACGACAGGTAAGGATTTAAATTTGTTTGATTTTTACACTAGTTAGCTCAAAGCAACTGGAAAAGTAGAGACGAAACTTCTTATACGCGCTGTTACTTGTGTTTTATCTCTTCCCACGGGCTCAGTCATTCTGAACATTACATTTGAAGCTCAGGTTATTTAACCCGCAATAACTATAATAAATAATTAAACGTGCGCACTCGGCAAGAAAATTAAGAATCTGACCGTTGAGCTTGTTGATTGAAATATAGCTTTTAATTTCGCCCGCGTTGAGATTTTAAAAAGAGGGTCCAGTTGTGGACTATTATCCCGACCGATTATTTTAATCTGTCCTTTAAATGCCTAGACATCCCCATCTTCCATGTATCAAGAAAACTTCTGCTCTTAAGGACCTTAAGTTCCATTGAAAAAATCGAGGTTTTAATGCAAACTTTTTGCGAAATAGCTTCTCGAAGCTAAAATCGCGGCTTAGACTTCCTTTAAACTTTATAATTTGTAATAAGTAATCTATTAACGATTTTGCTAAAGCAACCTCATAGACTTATTCTTCAGTCATACAGCTTTAATATGATGTATAATGTGTTATGGTTCTTATAATGTGAGACGCTAAATAATTTTTTAAACTTGATAATTTGAGACTGAACTCCAGCGAAGGGGAGCAGTAAACCTTAAGAAGCTGAGATGGTGAAGTTATATATCTGCGATTGGGGAAGGAAGCGATTAAGAGAGCAGAATAACAAAATGAAAATCATCCGTTTTCGTCCATCACCACCATTTCCACTCTCCTTAGGTTTATCGGGCCTAAAATACTAGATACTAATCGCTTTATGTGCACCTGACCTGGTTCAACGAATTGTAATTATTACTTGTTCTATTTTTCTACAGATTATGCCAATATGAATTAGCACAAAAATGTTCAAACTATCTTAAGCTGGTTACTTTAGAACTGGTAAGTGCTTAAGATATGGGATATAAATATAAGGATCCAAACRTTTACTGGAAGATATTCATTTAGATTGATTCAGCGTGACAATAGTCTCCTTCACGGTTATTTGCGCGATGTTGAAAGGTAGCCGTGCCTTTGCATCGAAGTGAGACAACCGTTRAGCGTGCAATGATAGAAACCTTTCACACCTACAGACAATTATTCACAGGTTTCTATCATTGCACGCTCAACAGTTGTCTCACTTCGATGCAAAGGCACGGCTACCTTTCAACATCGCGCAAATAACCGTGAAGGAGACTATTTGTGTTTGATCCACATGATACCACAGCTAGCCCGAGCAAAACCTCTGCTCTATTGTGTGTAAAATGTGTTTTACTTTTGCAGGATGATCTTAGCGAAGATACGTGGTTTACTACGCGTGATGTGGTTCCACATATCAGTCAGCTTCCACTTCCTGAAGACTATAGGCTCGCTGAACTGCAAGGCCTTACTGCACRCTATGTATCAGAAATCTAGGCAGATATCCTATATACCTTTATCAAACCACTTTCAATGTATTATAGAACAGAAAATTTTCAATGTTTTATACAGTAGAAWTCTTGCACTTATAAATCCGTGAATATTACTAATGAGTAGTAAATAGGAATAAATCACCATTTTTTTGTTTGTTTGTTTCACGTTTTAAGTTYGTTTACTGTACAGAGGTTTTTCGCAAGTCTCGTAATAATTTCCAGAGACTAATAGAATAATTGGTATAAGAGTAAAAAAACGTGAAATAGAGATTAAACTTTAGTATGCTCTAAATGTATTGTTTCCTTGTGTCCATTTAACTATCACACAATTTTTGTTCCACGGGCTTTTAATGACTTCACTCTACATTTCTAGATCGGGTCCCTGGAAATAGCGTTACAAGTTACAAAGTTATAAGGTTAAATTCTGTTACATTTCTGTCAAGAATATGTCAACAAGCCCTACTGCTATTACTAACTATATTATATACTTTTAATCTTATGCGTTAGACATCTTATAAAAAAAAACTTGTTTTTCTAAAAACTATGGCTATAAACTAACTAACTATAAGGCAGAGAACCTGGATCTTTGCTTTGAAAAAAAGTTATAATTATGACTAAGCGGGGGAGGGGTCAGTATGGTTTGAAATGTCCAACCCTGGTCGTATCAACTTATCAAGGCTCGACCTTCCTTCATGTATACAACGCAAGGTTCCCAAAGGGTTAGGTTTAGGGTAAGGAATAGGGTTAATAATCCGAGGGAATATTGGCGTGATTCACATTTTCGGAGGAGCTAGCTAAATTAATTTCTGGCGGTCACTGTGGGGTTGACCTGTAGCTACCTTCCCTTCTTTTTAGAGCGAATGATGACAATAGCAATAGATGGCTCAAAATAGCTCAAAATGGCCTGAAACTCAACCGGAATACAAAGAAAACCCCAATAAACAGGTAGAGATGTTTATTTTTTTTATTAAACTATCATATTTCGCAAAATTACTAAAAACGGTTAAAATGTTTAGCTTGGGCTACCTGTGACTCGAGATATACACAAGAATTCAGTAAGTGAATTTCTAAGATACTCAAAGCTATAACAAATACAATCGTAATCACTGTTCAAAAAATGGCGCCCTTCATGGTTAAAAGGTGCCCATCCTGGTGCCCTTGCACCGTGCGACTTCTTATCACAGACATCACATGTACATCAGTACAGGGGTCACTGACCAAAGGCTTATGACGATGAAAGGACCTGGTTCTCTCCCTTTATAGTTAGTTAGTTTATAGTTATAGTTTTTAAGTTTTTTTGGACTAAGATAGTCAATTCAGGTATGTCTAACGCATAAAATTAAAGTATATAATAATAATATAGTAATAGTAGAAGGGCTTGTTGACATGTTGTTGACATATTCTTGACAGAAATGTAACAGAATTTAACCTTGTAACTTCGTAACTTCGTAACTTGTAACGCTATTTCCAGGGATCCTTACACAACAGAAAACCGCCTAAAGACAAAACAGTCAAAAAACGTATTGCTGGAACTCTGAAGGCAAACATGAAAGGTAAACAATGGTCAACATACGACAAAAAGCTAAAGGTTACTACGTTTGCTGAAAAACCCGTTATACCGTAAGTCATTGCTTCTGCATAAAAAGAACCCAAGTATCTATAAAATGGTGGGAACTAGTGGTAAACTAGCTTAAACTAGTGTGAGCTGCGTCGGTGTTTTTAAAGAAACAGTTGTGTAAAAAGATAAATTTAACACCGTAAAAAAAGTATGTGAAATAACTTACTGACGTTTCGGACGTTAATCCTTCGTCGTAGTAAAAGTGATGAAAATAGGTAAAGGGTGAGTTTATATAGTAGGAGTAGGAAGGAAAATAGACCAATAGGAGCAAAGTAGGCATGGTAACGTGAAATAAACAAAAAAGCAAAGGAAGTGTAAGACAAAAGAACAATGAAGGTGCTAAAAAGGGAACAAAAGATAAACAACCTGAAAACAAAGCGTTCATTCAACCCATGGGGATTATAAGTGCTCAATTGGTGAATGAGCACTTGCTTTAATCAAAGACAAACCAAAAACAATAAAGTTA